CGCTTGGCACTGTCTAGGGGAGATAAGGCCACCCTGGTGAGCAAAGCCGTCACAGGCCCTACCTCAAAGAACTTTCTTTCCCATTCGGGAGACAAATAGCAAATAGAACAAGCACATAAATGAAAGAGGTCATCACAAACAGTGATGGCACCACCCAGAACATGCAGAGGCTGCAGAGGTATAATTGAGAAGTGAGGAAAAAGAACTTTTGGTTGGGAGGGGAGGACCAGAAAGGCCTCTCTCCTGACAGAACATCTGAGGTGAAACTTGAAAGTGAGAATGAGCTAGCCCTTCAGAGGGGTGAGGGGGAACCCTCCAGGCAGAGGGAAAAGCCAGTTTGCAAGGGCCCAGAGTCCAGAAAGGGGCTGATGTGTTTGAGTAAAAAGGCCCAAGTAGCTGGAGGGTCAGGGAGAGTATACAGTCGCCAAAAAGGCAACAGAGATTGCTAGGCAGAGCCAGTTCAGGCCAAAAAAAGCAGCAAACCTGAATATTGCTCCAAGTGCCAGGGGAACCGCTGAGAGCCTCTGAGCAGGGAGTGACATAGCGCCATATACGTGTATGTATGCCACTCTCCTGTTGTACAGAGACCAGACTGGATAAGGAACAGGAGTGGACCTAGGGAGGCAGCAGGTGGCTCACTGCATAGTCTAGGTGCGGGAGGACAAATCAGACATAGGTCTGGACTGACCCCAAAGGCTGGCTGGGAGCTGTACTGCTCTGGATACTAAGGTGAGTGACCCCATCCTGGCTGCCTTCAGGCACGGGACAGTCAAGGGGCTTGCAGAGCGAGGCGCACAAGGAAATCGACAAACAGCGGTGTCATTTCAGGGGCCGGTTAATTTGGCAACATCTTTGTTAAAGGAAATGAGCACATACTTTTTGACCGGCAGCTCACAGACTGACCCTACAAGCACACTGATGTGTGTGCAAATGGACATAGGTTCTAGGTTATTCATTACACGTTTGTAGAAGCAAAAGATTGGGAAGACAACCTAAATGCGGAGTAATAGGGAACTGGTTAAATAAATTTTGATTAGTCCACACAATGAAATACTATACAGCAAAAACTAAGAACATGGATACTTTCGTATGCTGTTTTTTATGTACATACAGATGTGTATGTGAGTGTATACATAAATTCTTCTCAAGATAATACTGTTGCATGACAAAAGCAAGGTATATGACAGTGTGTATGAGATGTTACCAACTATGTAAAAAAGATTTAAAAAATGCTCACAAACATATTTGCCAGTACATACCTAGCAAAATCTTCAAAAGGAGACATTAAAAAAAAAAACAAACAAAAACCGCCTGGGACTGGCTCTAGTTGAAGAACAGGGACTGGTGGACACTTACCCTTCACTGTGCACTTTTATAGTATTTCCAATTTACACCACGTGGATATATATATGACCTATTCAAAATAACTAAATAAAACTTAACTTTTACGCAAATGCACTAAAATAGGTTCAAGAAAAGATGGGAGCAGCCTTTGGTGCTGAGACCCCAGCAGGGTACATGAGGAGTGAGACTGAGAAAAGGGGGAGACTTCTGGGAGGAGGCAACCTCGGGGCCAAGTCTTGCAGGGTGGACAGGCATCCATCACAAACACAAGGCAGAGGCACAGACCTCTAATCAAACAGGGTCCGTTCGAGGACACACCAGGAGTTCTGGGGTTAGCTGAAGCCCTTGGGGTTCCAGAACAGCCAGCAGGACAGGAGACTGGGCAAGGCTCATCACAGGCACACCCTTGCCTGCCATGCCAAGAAGTTGGGACTCTTCCTAGAAGTGACGAAAGGGGGGCGCAGTGACACGATCAAGTCTGAGGTTCTCCAAGGAAAGCCTGGCAGCCGTGTGGAAGATGGAGAGAGGCAGTGGTGAGGAGGGGCAGGCAAGCTCGCTCAGAGACCGAGGTAGGGGCCTCGTTCCTTCTAGGAAGGAAGTGATGATGGAGAAAAAGGAACAGACTCAACAGAGAACGGATCCCATGCGTGGGGTGAACAGGAACAAAGGAGAGCACCAAAGATCTCATCTGAGCTACTTCGATCTGAGAGAAGGAACTGAGGCCAAGAAGCAACTTTAGGGGATGGAACAGGAAGAAAGGACTCTGGGGAGGCAGATGGGCGGGTTCAAATCCCTGGCTACCTGTCCCTGAGCAAGGCCGCTCAGCTCTCTGAATTTTAGTTTGCCTCATTTGTAAAATGAGGCTACCGGCTAGGCTAGGGGGCCATTCTCACAGTGAAGGGAAGTGTTTTATACACAGCACCTGCCACATTGCCTGGCACGTGGTGGGCACTGTAAAAAATTGTACAAAAGAGCTGAAGAAAGTCTCTACAACAGACAAATGCCTAGTTCACCAAAGGAGGGATTTCAAGGGAATTTTTAGAAATTCAAGGAGGATAGTCTATGATTCTACTGACTCAGAGTGTCATTCCTCAATGGCGCCCAGACCAGCCCCTCCCCTTGACAGACCAGAGACCCGTCATGAGTATGGATGGAGGGCCGCAGACCACCCACCATCGCTGGGCAAGCAACTCAAAGGCCAGGCCTTGGCCAAAAGGAGGACACTTCACCAGGACCAGTCAAGACTGGCTTGTTCCAATTCCAGGCAAACACTAGCATCTATAAACCCCCAACGGCCAAACCAGCTCTATAACTGTTAGGGGTGTTTCACTTCCTGTGTTTTGTGTGTGTGTGTGTGTGTGTGTGTGTGTTGGACCTCTAACCATGACAGCAAAGCACACCAAGGCAACTCCCCAGCTGCATACTCACAAATACAATGTGAAAGTGACCCCTGGGCATTTTCCAGTGAAGATGAACTGGGGAATGAGACAAAAGTCCAGCCACATCTAAATTCAATGACCCCCGCATTGTCTATAATCACAAACTATCTCAAATTATCTGCAAAATCAGGAGTTTAAAAAAAAGCCCAAGACTCACTACAAAAATATAAACAAAACCCTAGTCCTTAGTCATGATTATTAAACTAGGTCTATTTCTGAAGCCTCTTGCTTGGTTTTGAAGAGGTAACTTCAAATGTTAATCTTGTCAAGGAAAAAAAAAATCATAGGAATTTTTGAAAATAAGAAGTATCCAGAAATGTGTAATTCGTACCACTTCTCTCCAACCCAGAGCCCCCAAATGCTTTCTTGGCTGAAGTACAAGAGAGGGTCCAAAATAGGAACAACATCCTTGTTCCCGGAATGGCCACTTTCCTGGAGATAGGCCTTAGGGCTGCTGACGTGCAGGACTGTGCTGCTATAGTGGGGAAAAGCAATGTTACAAGGTCTTTCTGATATGACCAGTCATGGGCTCTCTATAGAAACAGATCTCAGGACAGACCTGTTGGATACAAAGCGACCTAATAGATTTATGCCATTTGGATGGTTATAACCTGTCTGATATACACAGATCCACTGTTAAGCACAAAGGTGAGCAACCCAGTATATAGATTACATCAAACAGAAAAGTCAGAACCCAATGACATTCAATTCAAGGCCAAAGAAAATAAGGAACAAATATCAGAAACTTAATAAAATTAACATGAAAACAAACTGACAGCCTTGAGCAGCCTCCTTAGGAATTCTATCAGACGTCCCTTCTCTCCCTTCTCCTTCTTGGAATCAACAGCAGAATGGGCTGATAAAAAAAATGGTTTTCTAGGAAGAAAGAGTTGTACCTTCTGGTCCTAGGTCTCTGAAGGCAGAATTAACATATATGTACATTTCACCTACCCTAAATTTAGGCCAGTTTTAAAAAATAAAACATGGCTTCCAAGATGACATATATTACCATTGATTGGTTTCTGAGTACTGGACCTGCTCTTGCCCTGTAACTTTTCTTTAATGTCGTGTCCTGTGCCATAAGCTTTGTCTCTTTGCTCATCAATAAGAATTCCAACTTTCAAGGGTGGGTGTTACATTGCCTGGGAGAGTAAGGAGTGAACAGTATTCCTGGGACTGTCTTAGGTACGTGCGAGAACTGCTGATGGACAAACTATGAGCTCCTTTTTCCACTGGGCATGGCAGGGACGCCGATGTGCTGCGCTCTGGGATTGTTCAGCCCCCTTGCGTTAGGTGGGGGGACCGGATGGCGAGGGGCGGTGAGCTCATTCCCAACCTGCTTGTCAACATCAGGCCTGGGAACTTTCCTGACGGTTATTAAGGAGGGACTACAGCATGCTCCCACGTGAAACTGGTTGCGTTGGGCCTTTTCCCACACAAAGCATCCATGCCTCCGGAACTACTGCAACCATCCCTGAAAATTTTAACATTATTTCAAACCCACGCAGAAGACAATTCCCGAGCGGCCACACTCGACAGTTCAATCCCCCTGGTTTTGCCAAACCGGTTGGTTACTAACCCAGGACCTCTTGGAAGACCGTCCCAGGGCATACCCCACCCCCATCCAAACACTCCCGCCATCCATGCCGAAGGCGAAGGCGCAATCATCCCAGCTGAACGTCACCTTCTAATCTCACACCAAACTAACAGCAGGAAGAAGCAAACTGGCCTAGCAGGGCGCCGCAGCTGCTACCCGTCAGGTAGTCTACCGCCCCCAGGAAAACCCGCCACACGTGTGGGGCCCTTTATCCGCGCGTTCCTGGGCGCGCACTCCCCTCTCGCAGGCGCGCACCCACGCACACACTCGGGGCCCTACAGGCACAGCTGGGGACTTAGTTTTCTCTTCCTGAGAGCAGCTCGTGCCTGGTCCTCAGCATCCGATCCGCCTTGTCGCCAGCCCCGGAACACACACGCCTCCTCCAGCCTCCGCGCCACGCACGTGGGAAGGCGCGTCCAGGTGGTGCCAGAAGGGAGGAGAGAAGAAGCGCAGAGGCAGGGAAGGCCGGGGAGGAGGAAGGAGGGAGCTCCGAGTGGCATGTGGCTTCTCAGGTGCCAGGGCCCGGCGTAGATGCCTCGTCAGCCTCTGGGATGCAGAGGGGGCGAGATCAGAAAAGCAGCAGGGGAGGAAAGGGGCTGGAGGGGAGAGGGGTCGCTCACCCAGGGTTTTGACAGCGATCTGCCTGGTGAGGGGCGGCGGCAGGTTGATGCACACCAAGTCCACGTCCTGATGCAGCAGCACCTCGTCAATGCGGCTGGTGTAGAAGGGGACGCTCATCTCCTTGGCCAGCTCCTCGGCTTCCTCCTGCGTGCGGCCCCACAGCGCCTTCACCGCGAAGCCCTCATCTTTCAGCAGCGGGATGATGACACGGGCCGTGAGGCTGGTGCCGAACACGCCCACCCCGGGAAGCATGGCTGCTCTGGTCCGCCGGGTTCTGCTATAGCTCAGATCTCCAATCGAACACTCCCCCACACACCCCTCTAGCCAGTCCTGCACCCGGCTCGCGGCGGTGCGCCAGCCGCCCGTGCCCCGGGCAAGGCGCCCGGGTGCCGAGAGCGCACCGAGCTGCAGGCGGAGCAGGCTCGGGGCGCCTCAGTACGGCGTCTGCTGCAGTGTCCGCCACGCGGGGCTCTCGTCCCTCCCGGGGGCGGTGGCAGGGACCCCCGCGGGGCGTCCGAGGCCCCGAAGCCCCGCGGAGCCCCGGCTCAGGCAGCGCCCCCGCCGCAGTGCCGGCCGGCTCCGCGAGCCCCGCCGAGGCCGCCCCATGGCCGGCTCATCCCCGCGTCCGCGCCGCCGCAGCCCGGGACCCGCTCTCTCCCGCGTGGTTTCCGCAGCCGGCGACTCGCACGCACGAGCCTCTACACCCAGCCAGAGCACGGACCGGCGCGGCTGCGGGGTCCCCTTGCTCGCCCGCCCTCGGCTACGAATGAAATAATCCAGCGGCCACCAGGAGGCCGGCTAAGCACGCGGCTCGGAGGGCGCCGGGCGCGGATCTCGAGCTGCAGCGCGGCGCCGGCGGCCACGACCCGGCGCCGGCCTTCTCATTCCGCTGCCATGTTCGCTCGCAGCGCGGCTCGGGCGGCCTCGGCCCCAGGCCGGCTCGGGCTCCGGGATCCCGCGGGGACGAGGGCGGAGTTGGTGAGTTTGGCTGTCAGCAGCCGGGTGCTCCTGCACCGCCCCCGCCGCAGCGCCGCGCGCCATTGGCCGCCGCGCGCCGCCCCCGCCCCCGCCGCCGCGGGCTCCCGGTGCGCGCCGCGCGGGGCCCAGGAACCCAGCCCGGCTCTTCCCCGGCCCCGCCCAGCGCGCCTCCGGCCCCTACGCGGCTTCCCTTTCTTCGCCCTCACCTCCTCCTTCCCGTGCTCGCCTCTTCCCAAACCCCGCCCCAAGCAGGCCAATAAATCCATCGGGGCCCGGCGCGCCCAACTGGGCGGCTCGTAAATCCCTGGGAAGCGGGGCGGTGGGCGACCCGGCCCGGGGGCGTCCGGGGGCGGGGAGGGGGGTGGGCGGAGCCCTGCGAGTGTGAGCCGCGGAGCGGGAGCGTTTCCTACGTGCGGAGAACCACACTAGAGAAGCTATTCAGACATTCCCTCTTAATCCTTGCACAGCCTTAAGGTTATTGGTGCAACCCATTTAACTGATGATGCAGTTGAGACCCGGGAAGGGTAAGTGACTTGCACAAGGTCACACGATAGGAAAAAAGCGGGCCTGACATTGGAATCCAGGCTAGGCTCCAGAGTTTGGGCGGTGAGCTGGAGAGTTCTCTCTCCAAGAGAGCTTGCTCCAACCCTACACCAGACCTCCCGCCGCGCTCGCTCGGTCCAGCCGCCTTCCTCCCAGTCTTCTTAACACGCTCTGCTTTCCCCGCGAGGCCAGCGCCTGAGCAGAGCAGACGCTAGGTGAGGCGTCCCCGAAGCGGCTGCGGCATGTGTGTCCACGTCTGGGCGAGCTGGGTTTCCAGACGGAGAGGAAGCCCTGGCCAGAAGCTATGCCAGTCACTCGACCTCTCGCTTTGGCTTCTTTCGCCACTTACGCCCCCTCCCCCCCCCCCCCCCCGCCGCCTCACTCCCTAGCCTGCACCCTCATCCCCATCCTCTGCTCCTTTGGAGGGAGGGGGGCCGGCTGAAGCTCGCCCTGCACCCGCCTGGGCGCAGATCCTTGGCACCCATCACACTGGCCTGTAGGTAGTAAGCCCTCAATAAACATTTGCTAAATAAATGAATATTCACCGAGTTTCCACTTTGTGCCCACTTGGTGCTGGGATGCGGGACCCAAAGCTGAATTGGTACGGAACCTGGCTTCCAGCTCAAAGTCTCATGAGAGGTCAGGGGTCCTGGCATGCTCCTCTCTTGTCTTCCCTCAGCTCAACGTGGCACATGGTCTGCTTCAACACGGGAGTGGAAAACGTGATACTTGCAAGCATTTAAAACAACTTGTAAAAACTGGCAATGAGGCGGGTGCGTGGAGAGAGCAGGATACCGAAAAGGCTCGTGTGTTGCAATGGGGGGAGGTGGCTGACCTCAGGGTGTTAGAAGAAAGGCACAGAGGACACTGAGTGCTCTGAGTAGCTGCCAGCGGCCTGGGAAGTTCTGAGACAAAAGGAGTATTGCCATCAGTACTGACAGGCTTCTTTTGAGCTGAGGTTTTGTAAGGACGGAGGCAGGACCGCCTACGGGGGCAAAGGGGTGCAGGCAATGGTGTCCGACACGAGGCACCATCCCGCTACACAAGAGGCCAGGTCATATGTCAGCCTTGGCAGTGGCTCATCTAGAGCAGGGGAGGTGGTGCTTGGCTTTGGGGTTGGAAGCAGAGCCAGAGCACCTGGGGTTTTTACTCTCGGCTCTGCCATTTACTAGCCATGGGACCTTAAGCAAGTACTTCCGCTTTTTGGGCCACGGTTCTATCTGTTAAGTCAGGGTAATAACGGAGGACTATAGGGGTTATTTTTATAAAGTCCTTAGAATAGTGTCTGGCACATAGTAAGCTCTAGATAAATGTTAAATAAATATGGAGAGGGGTCTGTTACCAACATCATTTCTTGATATGAGAGCCAATTAATACGAGGGCAGCAATATCTAGCCAGTAAGAGGTAGGTTGTGTTCTTTTAAAGGGAACTCTACCCTTAGCTTCCGTGTGAATAAAAATAAACCTGACATCTGTGTGATATCAAGAGAAAATGATCACATTTGATTCTCATCAAATGTATAAAACAAACATCATCCCCATTTCAGAGAAGACAAAACTGAATCCTGGCAGCAACTCAAACTTACAGGTCTAAAACAGAAGGCTTCGTCTCCAACCTTCCCCCAAACCATCCCTCCCCCAGTCATTCCCATCTCAGCAAATGGCACGGCCAGCCCACCATTTGGCCAAAAACCTTGGAGGCATCCACGGCTCCTCTCTCGTATATGCTCTATAGTCGAGGAACAGCAGGGCCTGTCTGCTCAGCTTGCAAAATGCATCCAGAGTCTGACAGCTTCCCTGCACGGTGGGGACCCCGGGGTCACCATCATCACTGCCTGGACCACAGCATTCACCTCCTTGCTGGTCTACCTCCTTGCACACTTACTGCTTCCCCCGCAGTCCATATTCTCCACACAGCAGCCAGAGTGAAACCTTATTTTTTTTAATATTTAAAATATTAGATTTTTAAATCTAATCTAATTTTTTAAATATTAAAATATTAATAAAATATTTATTTGAGAGAGAGCACGAGCGGGAAAGGGAAAGCGAATCTCAAGCAGACTCCACACTGAGTGCAGAGCCCAACATGAGGCTCGATCTCACAACCATGAGATCAGGACCTGAGCCGAAACCAAGATCAGATGCTCAACTGACGGGACCACCTAGGTGTCCCAGCCAGAACAAATCTTTAAAAGATAAGTACAGTCGTGTCCCACCAGGCTTGATACCTACCAGTGAATAAACCCCAAAGGCCTCAGGATAGACTGAAAAGGTCTACCTGAGCTAACCACCTGCCTTGCACACCTCTTCACCTACAACTCTCTACCCCACAGCCTGCATTCCAGCACACTGGCCTCCCCACTGCCCTGGACAGCAGAGCCTGTTTGTGTCTCAGGGCCTTTGCACTTGCTGTTTCCTCTGCATGCCCCCCTTCCATGTGCGCCCTCCTTCCACCCCGACATATCCACATGGTTCCCTCTCTCCCTTCACTCAGGCCTCTGCTCAGATATCCCCTCCTCAGATTGCCTTGCCCGACCATCCTGGCTAAAATGACATCTTTGTCACGTTTCATCCCCTTGTCTGGCTTTATTTTTCTTTATACCTCCTCTCACTGCCCCACAACATATTATATACCTGTTTATCTGTTTATCATCCATTTGCCTCAACAGATAAACTCATGGAGATCACAAGTTTGTATGTCTTGTTCACTTCTGAATCGCCAGTGCCAAAAATTGTATCTGGCACCTGCTAGACACTCAAAATGCATTTGTTGAACAAATGTTTATATGTTCTTCTAATAACCATGTGATACTATGAAGAGTGTATGAGTTAATATTTATATAAACTGCTTAGAACTGTGCCAAGTGCCATGTGCAAGAATGGTTTAGGCCCTGGAGAAGCAAGGCTGAGTATGGCAGGACACCTGCCTCCAGGTATATTATGCCTGGTGGCCTGTTGATTGGATATATGAATGGACAATGGCAATACAGTGTGGCTCATACCATGGTAGGAACCTGCAGGGGATGATTTGGGAGCAGAGCACGGCTTTGCGATCAAAATGAGAAGCCTTTGAAGACTTGCAGAGAGAGGAAAGGACTAGACCCAGGTGTTGAAAGACTTGCTGGAGTTGTTAGCCAGAATAAAGAGGGGAGAACGTTCTAGACTGGGGGAGGCTAAAAATAGGCTAACTCAAGGTGGAAGGGTTTGTGTGAAAGAGGCCAGGACATGATGGACAATCACCAAAGGACTTAAAGCATACAGTGAACAATTTTAAAGATTTAAAAAAAAAATTTTTTTTTTAGGTAATCCCTACACCCAAGGTGGGACTTGAACTCACAGCCCCGAGATCAAGAGTTGCATGCTCTACTGACTGAGCCAGCCGGACACCCCAGGTTGGCATTTTAGAACCATCACTCAGGCTCCATGATGGAGGGGAATTGCAAGGGGGTGCACCCCGCAAAGCCCTGCAAGGGGACCGCTAAATACCCAGAGAGTGAAGGAAGGTATAGGCATGGGAATGAAGATGCAGGCACTCTGCTGTGACAAGATGGAGGCTCCCTGGGGGTGTAGCTAATCCGATGCGGGAAAGAGTTGGAGTGACTTCCCAGGTTTTGGTTGGCAGGGAAGCTGGCTATACAGTTGTGTCTTACTGGTTCACAGTACTGGGCAGGCGAGGATTGCTCTTAGCATGCATTGATCCTGAGCTTCTGATAACACGGACCTTTGAACCCCAGTGCTTTTGCACATGATACATTCACAAATATCTGGTGTTTATTCTTCATGTTCTTTGTGTGAGACCTTCTTAAGCCTGGAGCCTGAATCCCAACACAACCCGACATTTTGGCCTTTTAAACAGTTCTGAAAATAGGCCTAAAATTTTCTTTCCCCTCATTCCGTGATTTATCTGCCAATCTCTACCATTTGCA